CTAGCTTCCTAGTGCTTCACTTTAACCCGTTGCACAACCAGGGAGGGCCCTTGTTTATATTTTCACAGTATAAAGGTTTCTCCTTATACTGTCAAGTGTGTCAAGTGTGATCATGGTCACTCTCCCACCGCCAAATTACTCTAACTTTTGTTTGGTGCCCAACAGCAGCCTGATTTAACTTCCAGTACATTTGTAGTTCTGAGCGTATGACAAGTCTTGATAGCATGCTTGCTGTCCCCCTCCAGTGTGTTCATGCCCCTCATTGTCCTTTTTGTTTCCCTGTAGCTACCTCCCTCACCCCACTACCGAAGATCTGAACGGGAGGAAGGAATGTAATCACCTCAGGGTTATATGCATTTACACTTCAGGAACGTAATCACTGAAGTGTTTCATTCCAAACAAGCTGGGTTGATGGAAATTGGGGAGATCAAAAAACATTCCGGCTCCTTTGGTGTTCCAGTCTAAATTCTGCATCCACCTGAAGGATTTTTCCATTCACAAATGAACTCGCTTTAATTTTCTCTTTAGATGTTTTTCTCCTTTGTTCCATTTACTTGTTTTATTTTTTTCTTCGACCATGAATTAGTAAACTCCTGAAAATCTCATCCACCTTTCCACTTTGCCAGTAAGATCTTACCAATTCACATTATAAAAATAAGTTTTAATAAGTATTTGTCGAATGATCACTGATCATATCAGCAGGGCTTTAGTATAACCACTTTCCTAAAATAGTTATCAAATGAGGATGCTTCAGTGGAATCAAGCATCCTCATCATCTTATATAGTTTCCCTTATCTTATTATTGATCCCCTTCTTGCCTTTAATATCTGTATGTCAGGTGCATATGTACATTTTTTATTACATGGTGATTCTTTTCTTCTTAATTTTTTTCAATGTTTCTCTTTCTTTGTTCTTTTTCCAGAGGTCTATTAGCTATAGATTTCTTCATTTTTGAGATATTGCTCTTTCTCAGTTGATACTTAAAGGATTCTTCTACTTAGGTAGTTTCAGTTAATATTTATAAATGCTCTAATTTAAGATCTTTTTGACTACCACAAGCCTGAAAACTGAATAAAAACAGACTTACAGTTGCTTCTCCTCATTTAAGATGTGAATTGGGAAATTTACTGTTCAGTTTGTTTTGATTGATGAGCTTCCAGTTGTACAAACTTCTTTATGCTTAGGAGCCCGTATTTAGAAAAATATTGCCTTCACTTTAAGAAATTCCTCTGAGTCTCACCTTCCTTATATTTTCCATTTGTCATACTTGTGAATACAGTGATAATTTACTATTTCCTTTGATAGACAGATATATGGTCATGGGGTAAATCCAAGTACACTGGGATCATGGGAGTGGTAGGTGGGGCAGGGGTTTGGGAGAATGTCTTCTTAGAGCCAACGTAGCTCCATGTAACTGTAGTCTTGAAATAGGAAAAAAGTACCAATTCTTAATTGCCATTTACCACTAAGATATCGAATTTTACCCAATGAGGCTAAAAAAAGTCCTACAGACTTTCTTTGAAAATCAGATATCATCATCAGTTTCTGCTATGAAATTTTATTGTCTTGGTAGCCTTGATCCAATTTCTGTAGAAAGTAGATATATATTTTAATTACATTTTTTAATCAAGTTAATGTAGATTTGCATTATAAATGACTTAGGCCTATAGGGTTACATATGTTTGCTATCACTCCATGCCCACCAACAAATCACCAAGAATATCTAACCAGTATAGTGTCATGATAAAAAATGTGCTCTTTAATTGAGACAGAACTGCTAATTTAAAACAAGTCCACCTCTTTAAATTACATATTTCTCAGGTATAAACTGGGATTTTAAAATTTATTTATTTATTTATTTATTATTTTTTTATTTTTTTATTTATGCATCCAAGAACTGGTGTAGAAGGCAGAGGTGGTGGGGGGTGAGAGGATTCACTAGAGACAGAGTGGGGAAAAGAACAGACTGACTGATTGAAATGCACTGCTAAGGGGAGCAGTGGGAGAGACAGGTCTGCTGCATCAGGTGTGCTACCTCCCTTGTCAGGGGTTGAACTTGTGCTGTAGTGACTCCAATAGCTTCCCAGTGCTGAGCTTTAACCCTTTGTGCCACCAGGGAGTCCTCTATAAATTGGAATTTTAAAAAAGAAGTCATCTCTGTGAATACTGAGTAGCCCTCAGTGTATACTGTCTATGAACTACATTGCTTAAATCTGTGACACTGACGAAAATTCAGAGTTCACAATAACTCATCTTTACAAAGGAAACAAGAAAAATCTAATCTCTACAGAACCTCCACTGACAAAGTATAATTTATAGATAAGCTTCATTTAGCAAATTACATTTACTTATTAGAATATGCCCCCTTCATTTAGGATGTTTACCTCCGCTTCCAATATATTATTCAGTACAAAGTATTTTCTTGCACTATGTGTTTTTAAGTATGTTCTCCAAAACAATTTGAAGTATAAGATGACCTACAAACAAAATATGATTGCTGATTATTTCATTTATAACCAAGGAAAATCTCTTCTACTTCATCCCCATCCTTGCCCTTTGCAAAAACAAAATCTCCAAGCTGCCAGGTCTTATTTTAATTAACACCAATATGAAATCACAAATTTTGAAAACATGTACGTGGTACATGAAGTTATTCTTAAGAACATTTATCACAATTTCACTCCCTTATCTCCCTCAGTGATGTTAAATTGTCACTAAATGTCAGGTTGTTTAGCCTTGCCCACAGTTTCATGTGGAAGAAATTTCTAATTTGAATATAGTTCTGCTATGTATCATATTAAAGCAAATTTAGTTAAATTACTTAAATTGATGCATCCATTAGGTAATGCAAAACTAACACCAATAACTGTGTGTTACTTCCTAACCCTGATACCTAAGCCCTTCCACTGTCCCTGCCACAATTGTTAAAATTTTAAGATGATGTTCCATGTAGTTGTGAACATACATAAGAGATGAAAGTGTCCTAATATCTTCTTAAGTATATCAGCTACCTTTACCCTCCCCACCCCCCATATTGGTTGTCAAAATTCATAGACAAATATTATTAATATTGTTTTTAAATCACTAACATTATTTATGTAAATAAATATTGGGTTACTATAGAAAAAATAATATTGGCAGAATTTCTCTTCATCTCTTTAAGAAGCGACACTAATCTTTAAAATAGCCTATATTGTCTATAAACTAATTCCAGATAAAATGCCCATAATGCCCATAAACTAATTCCAGATAAAATACTTCAGTATTTTGCTAGTTGAAATATGTATAGTTTTTTTTTTAAGATTTATTTATTTATGCATAGAACTGGGGTACAGGCCAGAGGTGCAGGGGCAGTGAGAGGATTCACCAAAGACAGAGTGGGGAGCAGAACAGGCAGATTCGATGAAGTACACTGCTGAGGGGAGCAGTGGGTGGGTCAGGAGAGGTCTGCCAGCCATGTGGATCATCACCCAGGCCGGGATCGAACTCAGCACTGAAGCAGCTACGGCGAGCTTGTAGTGCTGTGTCCTAACCCATTATGCCACCGGGGAGGTTCCTGAAATATCTATAGTTTTTAAAGTTATTTTTTCTTCCTAAATTACCAAGTTAGAAAGAATAGAGGCTTATTTTTGCTCACTTCTATATATATATATATATATGTATATATATAAAACTGCATGATATTGTCATAATGCTTAATAAGATAATTGTGATAAACTGTATACAGCACAGGTAATGATTTTTAAAATCATTATCTTAAGGTAAACAGCTATATTAAAATATGTATACATTGAACCTTGGCCTTTGGGCTAAGATTAAGTGTAAAATATGAATATAGAAATGTTCTCATGCCTTATTGGTTGTAACTTGGTAAAGAATTCTTCACATGTAGCCAGTACTCAGATCAATAAACAGCACATAAAATAGCCGTATTTTTTGACCTGTTTTATTTATTATGAAACAATTTTGATACAAAATTTTCAGTATTTATTTTTCCTTTTTGAAAAATGCACTAAAAAGAAATCTGCATAAGCAAGTTTCTAAACACCAAGAATTTTCAGTTATATATTGTATGTAAATATTTTTTAGATGTTTTGCTAATAATTCTTATGAGGTTTGGTTCTAACACAAGTTAGAACTTGTAAGTTCTAACCTAATTAGAAATATTCAGGTCTGGCTAGGCTCATTGTTGAAGGACAAATGTACATTGTCTTGATAAAACTTCTACTGTGTTTTTGTTTGGTGTTATATTAAACTTCCAAACAGTATAGAATGCCTCATAGGAATAGTCCTTTTCTTTCTGTATAAAACATGTGATTTCTAAACATTCCATCCACTGTACTTTAGTGCAGTGAGATGTTTCCATGTCACATAGTCAGAGGGAGGTAGATTAATAGGGAGTTCTAGCTGGAAATTTCTTCCCTGTTATTGTTCTCCCTCAGCAGTTGATGGCTAAGTTAATTCTCTTTAGTTTTGTCATGCTCTAAGGCACACATTGCCAAGCAATGGTAAGCTTTATGAGGAAAAAAAGAGAGAGAGAGAGAGAAGCAGTGGTGTCCATCAAAGTCTTAAAGTTGCATTTTTAACTTTGGCTTGACCTGATGTGCCATTCAAAAAAGCTTCAAAAGATTATTTTTTTTTTTTTAAAGAAAGGTTCAATATGTCCCGAGGCTATCGGTTTTGAGTTAAACTGGGTGAAGTAGAAATATTTTACTCATCAGCTTTGCAGTCACAGAGTTTGCCTCAGCTAGAACAAAACTGCTGAGGCATTTAGAGAAAATTAACCCCCCATCCTGGCGGCCAGATGTGACTGGTTTCTGATGAATGCACATGAGTGGGCTGAAAAATCAAGAGACTGTGAAATTCCTGTCAGGTCCGTACAGTGCAGAATGGGCTATTGACTGCTTTCTATATTTCCCTCCATCATTCTTCTTGAACACTGCCATTAATTTCCTCTCCTACTCTGACTTGTGTTTTTTCCCCCTCCCTCTTCCCCTTAGCTCTGTCAGCTGCAAAAAAGGATACACAAGGTGTGGGAGAAGCACTTCAAACTGGTGGTCCTCTACAGCGAGATGAGGCTGGCCAAGTTCCAGAGACACTCTCAAGAGAGTATTCAGAAAATATTAGTTGTGCAGGTAGGTGATTGCAGGGAAGTAGGAAAGATCATTCTGATCTAGATTGAAAAGCAAATGATGGGTAGTGTGATGGAGCATTAAAACCATATCCCATCAGAGTTTTATAAATTTTTAACCTCTTTAATAAACTGGAATTGCATGAAGGATGAATCCAAGTAAGTTAGTATATATGCTATGTGTACTTTGGGAGGAAAGAGAGATCGAACGTAATTCTCACAACCCTCAAAGCGGATTTTTATAAATACATTGGATGTAAGTATATATTTTCAAATCTTTCAGATATCATTCAGCTATTGAGCAGGTATTATCAACAGTTGTCTTGGATTTTGTAGGAAATCTACGTCAGTGAAAACGACTCTTGTTTGTTTTATTTAACTCTTTTCTATCCCTTTCCACTTTGTAAAAACCGTGTTATGAACAGATTAAGAAATGGCATTATGTAAAAAATAAGCAACTTGGGACTAGAATATAACTGTGGTTCCAGGTGGCTGTGAAATTATATTTGTCTTTGTAAAAAGTGTCAGATCAGATGTCTTTGAGACTCTGATCTATCAAGAAATCCATAAATTATCTGAAGACTCATATGTAGATGACTTAATTTTTTTCAAATTAATGCTTTATTATTTGCAAAGTTGGCCTATATGAAAAAATAATGATCTCCCCAAGGAAAATGCATATCACTTTGTTTAATTTAAAAAATAAAATTATATGTTCAATTAAAAAGGCACATGCCAAAAATACAACCATAATTTTCATAAATTTACAACATAAACAATGTGTACTGGAATGAAACAAACCAAAATATCTTCTAAACATTTTATTTACGTGTACACCTCATGGTGCTTTTGCCACAATTAAAAAGATTTCACAGAAAAGCACTGCCAAAGCTATTTCAAATTTCATTATTATTTTAATTCAAATTTCATTATTATTTTCTTTTGAAATATTTAATTTTACTATTTTCTTCTGAGGTATATGTGTGTGTATACACACACACACACACACACACACATATATATATACACACACAGATACACATACACATGTATATATACACACACGTACTTTTTATATGGAGTCTGCTGATAATGAATTACAAGTTAAAATTAAAGGTAAATTTAAGGTTTTGCAAAGGTATTTAAAATATGTGGGCTTAATAGAAATTCACGTATAAACTTTACAATAAACTGAGTATTTTAGAAGCCTAGAGCATTTTTTTCTTAAAATGCCTTAATATATACTGTTTTTAAAATTATGGTAGCTGTTATCTGTGATTCTTTTTTAAATATCCAAAAGGCAATCTACAGGTACTAATTATCTTAGAAAAACCTAGTTTTCTTCTCAAATGTAAAAACTCTTAAATAAGTCTTACAAATGATAAATTCTCAATGAATGTTATGGTGTATTTTGAAATAATGAAAATCAGTAGAAATTGTTTGAGTTATCAGTAAAGTGAATCCTCAATCTATAATCTTCAATAACTCTTATTTTCTATTCAAAATTCACCAATATGTCATTTACTACTTGATTTTAAATGACTGATTTTTACATGACAGAGAAATAAGCGTTGAGAAAACACTGATAAGAAAACTCAACTTCTCAGCATCTATAGACACAGCAGCAAATATAGATTATATTTGGGTAATTTAAGAAGCATAACTTTGTGGGTTCTGATCTGTTGGCAATGTCTTCAACTTTGACTTTTCATAAAAATATGAAAATGTAATTTTCAATTTGTACAATACAAGTATAGAAACGTGTGCAAATCTTTGAAAAAATTTAAGTCCAAGATTTCAACCTGGTGCAAAATGACCTCCGTGAATCAATTCCCATTAAACTTCCCGGTTTCATCTTTCTTCACATCAGTTCTATTATTATGTTTCAGCCACTTAAAAGTTCCCACTAATCATGAAAACTATGTTATCCCTTTATCCTCTCCAGTGCTTAATACTCTTCTTTCCACAATACTCTTCCTTCTCTTACCTGTTAAAGAATATCTGACTCAGTTCAAATAACTCTTCTTACCAAATGCTTGGTGAGCCCATCACCCCCACCAGCCTCTGCCAGAAGAATTGAATTCAGTCTTCCTTAACATCCCACTGTGCCCTAGACCAACCCCCAGACTGAAGCTGCATTTTCAGCAGCTAAATCTTTCTACATTAGGCAATGCCCTCCTCCTAAAAGATTCTAAGCATCTCCAGGGATTTTGATCAGTCAAATCAGTCCAACTTTGTGTAAGTTTTTTTTTTTTTAATTTAAGATTTATTTATTTGTGCATACAGAACTGGGGTACAGGCCAGTGGCTCAGGGGCGGTGAGAGGCTTCACCAGAGACAGA